CTGGGCACATACCCAACAGAAGTGAGACAGACACAAAAATCCCATATACACAAAAGTATTAGGAGTAGCATTCTTGGTGTTAACAGAGAACTAGAAACAAGGTGGGTGCCCATCAACTAGGACATGATTTAAAAAAAAAGTATGGTATAGAAAATATAATAGAATTTTATCATATAGTAGAAATGACAAATATGACGAATTCAGAGAAACATGGCAAGGTTTGTATGAACTGATGAAAAATGAAATAAGCAGAATCAAAAGAAATGATAGAAAAAGATCCCTCAAAAGAAGCTGACTTGTGTAACTGATAAAACCCACACCACAAATAATGAAGCCTGGCCATAGCAGAAGCCTAGGGGATTATTAGAAAAAAGTTACTGTATACATTGTCATATGAATTTACTGCATTGGATGACTTCACTGAATTGTTTTTCTTTGTCCCAAGAAGAGAGATAATCAATCAAGAGGTGGGAAAGGTTTATTTTGTTTTTCAGAAAGGACTGTGATATAAAGACAAAGGTATCGATAAAATATATTTCAAACAAAATGAGGGTGTTGAAATAGATTTCTAAATCTAGAGTCCAGCTATAACATTCATGATTCAATGATAACTTTTCTGCACCCTCCCTTTAAAGGAACAAGAAAAGAAAAACAAAAACACACAGCTCCTTTAATTGAATAATTCTCAATGATGAATTCAAGGCAGTTAAGAGAAGTCATGTTCTTAAATTGACCTTAACTCACATCATATCTTAAAAACTGAAACTTGATATAAAGCCTCTAATTTTATCCTAAATTTTGTCTTTATAACTGCTGTCTTTATTCCTAGGAATTCAGTTTCTGTTTGCATCATTGTTTTTTCTATTCCTCCCCCCTCTAAGTTTTTGAATTTATTATTTTACATTTATTAGTGACCGATATTGCTATATATTGTACACGTTTTTTACCCTGCCTATCAATATATCAGATCAAAACTTAAGAGACAATTCTTTGTTTAGCATTAGACAACCATACAACCCAATTAAAATTGTTCCCAAGTCCCTTAGAATAAATGTTTTCTAAAATGACTTTACTTAGGTATTCTTAGTTACAAAATACCCTTAATATGAACAAGATGGTTCTTGGGAAATGATGAATTAGTTTTTACAGATACTATTAAAAAAGTACAATTTATATCTATTCTAAACCTTAATTTGCTATCACACTTTGTAGTTACAGTGGCCTTCTAAATGCTCCTTTTCTGTGTTTGGTAGAGGAGGACTATGCCAAATGGGTAAGCATTACTAGGAAATACCAGGCCCAAACACTGTCCTTTATGATAAGAAACTAGAATAGAGCAAAAAACCTATCTTAGTACTCCTGAAAAGCCTGAAGACATGGCTGTTATATTAGGGAAAGCACTAAACAGAGAGAGAGAAGTTTTGGGTCTCAATTCTACCGCCGGCAAGATGTGTGACTTGGATACGTCACATATCTGAGCTTCTCTGAGCTTCCATTTCCTCATCTGTAAAACGGGGATAATACCTGAATATCTATATATCTAATATAAAGTAATGAATAGGCCTAAGGAAATTGAGAGAATGCATGTAAGGTACTTTGCAAGCTTTAAAGTGCTATACAATTATCAGCTTATTATCATCGTGAAATGAAATAATTCAAATGGAACACCTCATAGCTTTAACATGCTGAATAAAAGATACCTACATGATAATGACTTCTCAAAGAGGTATATCCAGGTCTCAAGTTGCTAAATATGAACTCTTGGATCTGTCCTTCCTATACTGAGTGACAGCTAATTTCTGCCTTCTCTTCCTGCTGACATAGGCAGACACTTGCTGCAGAGCTGGACAAATGACCAGGAGACTGTGCTGTCAACTGGGAAAGAGATGAAAGGTTTCCAAGACAAACATTTCCTGGACTGACTTGCTATCACAGCGTTATCAAAGAGAACAAGAAATGATAGAAAAGAAGGGATGGAAGATGGCTGAAGGTAACAACAGGGAAGTGCTTTTTGTAGAGAGACTCAAAGTCCACATTTCAATATGTGACAGTTTTCAATAGAAGAAACTACTTGGTATGGACAAGCTCACATGGACAGAAATAGGCTTTCTTTTCACCATCAGCCCACTTCTCTTGTTTTGAAGAACATCTCTTTCATTTATCACATAAATCACTATCTACTACAGGGCTCATTATTTTTCTGTCTTTATGAAATATTAACATATCAATTATATACCAGTCTATTTCACATCTCATGTCCTTCCCATGTTGATCTCTTTCTGGCTTTGTACTTTTCTTCATGTTATTGACAACTGCCAGTTGATTAGCTCCAAGCCTTGAGAATATGAACTCTCAGCATTTTCCAAACTTGCTATTTCACCTAATGAGCTTTAAATACATAGCTAACAGTGCATGCTTGCCTGAGGAAAGTCCAAAATAGGCACTTACCACTGTTTGTGGTCAGCATCACAGTTACAGTAGTATCTCGAATCAGTACAGTTACGTTCAATGCCACACGCACATTTCTGAATTCCAGGTCCGGAACCACCCCAGTAGTAATGCTTTTCATTGGCTTTCCCAACCCACCAGGTATAAGGGCTTCCATCTGCAAGAGGATATGGAAATCAGAGTTAGGAAAACGATAGGCTCAGAATCTTTATGAATTATGCGCTAAATAACAACTCCTATTTCTTTGTTGCTTTAATGTTTGTCAAGTTAGGCTGTGTGATATTGATTATTCACATTTTTCATAGAATCATTGAATGTCAGAGTGGGAAAAGACCTCAGTGGCCATCTAATACAACCCATATTTGCAAAAGAAGCCCCTCTAAAATAACTACAACATACTGAACAAGTACTCATTCAGTCTTTGCCTGAAGACCCCCAATGAAAGATAACTCAAAGAGAAAGGTAGCCCATTTCCCTTTTGGATAGATATAATCACTACAAAGTCCCTTCCATCCTATCTATCTTCCTCCCCCCCCCTGCCCTCTCTCCCTCTTTGTCTCTGTCTCTGTTTCTGTCTCTCTCTCCATAGGAGATTTGTTACTCACTGAGCACTTTTTAGCTACCAGTTGCCCCTGTCATATACTTTAAACTTTAGGACTTCAGGAATATTCTGAGATTCAGGTGAAAGCTGAGTACCTCTAAAGATGTAGGTGGAGGGGAGGGAAGTGGGAGAGAATTATACATTCAGGATGAACGCTTGTTCTTAAGCACATGTGAAAGAATGAACACTCAAGATGGGGCAGTGATACACTGTGGGTTCTTAGTCACAGGTGTTCAGGTCCCCTAATGATTTTTCCATGGGCTATGGGTATATGTTCTATGGATGAGGATGGGTCATTTTGTACCCTTGAAGACTTGAGAACCTGATCTCCTAGGAAACCTGACATATACCTCTAAGTTTGCAATGTGGGCCAATGAGGCAGTACTGAAAATATCAAACATGTGCCAGAAGTCCACTGGGATTACAGAATGATCCACTAGGTCTTACTTGGAGAAAAAAGAACCTCTGCTTTGACTTAATTCAGTAAACATTGATTAAATGTCTACTATAATAATAGATACCATTTTAGAAGATTTTTTTTGATGTTTGCAAAGCACTATACAAACATTGTCTTATCTGATCATTATAACAACCCTGTAGGGAGGGGAGTACTATAGTCAGAGCATCATCTCCGTTCTATAGATTTGAGAACAGAGGTTTAGAAAGGCTTAAGGACTTGGTTATTGTTAAACAGCTGGGAAGGATGAGAACAATTTGAACTCAGGTCTCTCTTGAAATCAAGCCTGGCTTTTTTTTGTTTTGTTTTGTTTTGTTTTGTTTTGTTTTCATTTTGTTTTCACATTGTGTTATGCTGCCTCCTTGCTTACTTACATAGCTGTGTGATACCAGGGACATATTAATAATTTCTCATCCCAATAAATGAAAACACTCAGTGATCACTCTTTACAGATCTTTTACCATTAGGAAATATCTCTTATACTGCTGCAGGAATAGAGCTACTATAACTGGAGAGAACGGGAGCCTTTTCCAATGAAAGCCTCCAAGAGCTTCTTATCTTCCTATCTTGGCTGATGAAGCCATGTAGGACAATGGAGCCTTTTTTTGTCTACCCACCATCTACTAAGGATATGACAGGTTGTTTAAATGTATCTGTGGGCAAGTAGTCATAAACATAGAATATTAGAGCTAGAAAAAACTTTCAAGGGCATCCAGGGGCAATTACTTCATTTTATAGCTGAAGTACCATCCAGAGTGGGAAGATGACTTCTGCCTGCTCACACAGCTCGCTAACAGGACAACACAGACCTAGATTTTTCTTTAACCTCTAGTTTATTATTCTTTTCACCAAGCCACATAGGCTATTTGGTTAAGTTTTGGCTGCACCATTGCTTTCTTAAAAAACCAAACAACAACAATAAACCAAACCCAAACAAAGACAACAGGAAAAAGATTATTTAGGAATCACTGGGAATCAATTCAATCATTTGAATTGAAAGAAACAATAGGATTTGAAATCAGAAAGTCTAATGAGTTCAGTCTTTAAGAATTCAGACAAAAATATATTATAATGAAGTCCCTAGTCATTTGAACTGTTTTATCATAATAGAATTTTGCTGCAATGAGATTTTTGCTAAAAATCATACTGTCAAAGCATTAGCAATATTGGAGTTAGAAATTCAAGGGACTTTAGAGATCATCTAATCTATGGGTTCTTAACCTAAGGGTTCTTGAATGTGATTTTTACTATATACATATATATATATATATATATATATACACATTTACATATACATATACATATTATATATACACATATGTATTGGGGACTATATTTCAATATAATTGATTTCTTTTGTAATCTCATGTATTTTTTTTGCATTTAAAAACATTATTCTGAGAAGGAATCTAATGCTCTACCAGACTACTAATGACATAAAAGGTTAAGAATCCCTGATCTAGTCCAACTCCTGCCTTTTATAGATGAGGAAACTGAGGTTCAAAGAAAGGAAAGTGACTTGCTCAGAGTCATTCAGGCAACAAACAACAATCAGAATTGGACTAAATCCTCCAAGAATCCAGTGCCTTTTTCACTACACCAGGGGCTCCTGACTTGTAAAAGGTAGATGCCTGGGGTTTCCTAGGAGATATTGCAAGTGGTTTTATTCATATTCATAGTAAGCATTGAAGTGTTGATCTTTTTCTAGAATCAATGACATATGCTGCTTGATTTAGTATATTTTGGAAGCTAGATGGGATAGTGAAGAGAGTGCTAGACCTGGAATCAGGAAGAGTTGAGATCAAATCTGGCCTGAGATTAGTATAATTCTGGATAAATCACTTAAGCTCTACTTCAATTTCATCATCTGTAAAACGTGGATAATAGTAACACCTCCTTAGGATTGTGGGGATAAGATAAAATAATATTTTGCAAAATGCTTTGCAAACCTTAAAGTACTATACAAATTCTCATAATAATAATAATATTAATAATAATTAAGGAAGCAAACCTTCTGCATACAAAATAAATAGAATAACCTTACATATATGTATTACTGTTTTTTCTAGCATATATAGTTTTTTCTGTGATACGAACTTAAAATGTCATTAAATTCATAAAAGTTTTTTGGCATGTAGTTTTTAAGTAAATGGATACCAATAGTAAGCTCCAATCAAGTGGAAAGATCCACAAATTGGATCTTTGACATTAAAAGAAGACCTATGACACAAAAATAATACTAGTTTCTGGTTATATAGCACTGTAGGTTTACAATGCACTTTATATACTCTATCTCATTTGTTTTCACTACAATCTCGTGAGGTAGTAAGTACAGGTATTATCATCCCCATTTTATAGGTGAGTAAACTAAGGCTCAGAGTGATTGAGTGACAACCATGATAACACAACTAATAAGGTGAGGGGGAGATTTGAACCTATTGTTGTTCAATAGTGTCCAATCTTCATGACCCTATTTATTTTTTTGTTTTGTTTTTGGCAAAGATACTAGAGTAGCTTGCCATTTCCTTCTCCAGCTCATTTTACAGATAAGGGAACTGAGGCAAACAGGGTTAAGTGACTTTCCCAGGGTTGAACTCATGAAGATGAGTCTTTCTGACTCCAGGCTGGGTGTTCTATGTACTGTACTACCTAGCTGCCTCATCCGAACCAAAATCAATCCTAACTCTAAGTTATGAGATCATAGGATCATTGGTTTAGAACTAGAAGGAACTTCAAAGGCTTTTTAGTCCCGTTTTCCCCACCACATGTTATAGATGAGAAAACTAAGGCTCAGAGTAGTTAAAAGACTTGCCAATGGTCATACAGCTAGTAATTGTCAGAGGCAGAATTTGAACCCAGTATTACTAATTCTAGGGCAGGTAGGTGTTGCAGTGGATAGAGCACTGAACCTGGAATCAAGAAAACTTCTCTTTATGAGTTCAAATTTGGCCTCTGACATTTACTAGTTGTGTGATCCTGGCAAAAACACTTAACTTTGTTTGCTTCAGTTTCCACATCTGTAAAATGAGCTGAAAAAGAAAATGGCAAACCACTCTAATACCTTTGCTAAGAAAATCCCACATGGGGTACCAAAGATTTGGAAAAACCTGGAAAATGACTCAAAAAAAACCTTGCTAATTCCAAGTCCTATGTTCTATACACTACTCCCTGTAGCTCACTCTTTCTATTACTTTGTATTGCCTCTGAGATGATTGGGAACCACTTTATCACAGGATGGCCAGGCTTTGGGAAGTGAATATGAAACAATTCTGAAGCTAGGCTTCTCAAGTGTGAGTTAGAAAGGCCGAAATGAAGTAAGAAGGAACTAGCCAAAGAGAGGAGAAAGAAGATAAAAGCCCTCACTAATATCACCACCACCACCAGATTCTCTCCCAAATGTCTGGGACTCTCAATTTTGACTTGCTTTAGTAAGCAATTCAGTAGATTAGGAGGATTCTAGATAGGGATCTTTGAGATAGGAGGAAGGAAGGAAATGAAGAGTAATTTGTGCTTTGTGGCAAAACAATAGATCTGTGATAACTACATTACAACTAAAGAAGCCAGGAGCTCAGTAGTCTCCTCTCTTAACACTGTAAACAGTAAACAATCAGAGTCTATTATCATACTGAAGGGCTAGGAAGCAGAGGAATAATGTGTAGTGCATCCAACTCATTATTCATTCATTGCAATCAGATCAACATTCTGCGATTCTGAGATAGTGATAGAAAACATTCTTTGTAATGGTAATTTTCTAATGGGATTGTATTTCTTTAATAATGCAAAGAGAAAGTAGGATGATCAGCTGATTTCATTCCATTCTACAAATATATATTGAAAGTTTCCCACTAGATGTAAAGCACTCTTCTCAGTTCCTAGGAGGATGGCATATTAAATGATATCAACATCCCCATAAGAACAGGAAGAGCTAACCCAAAGGTGCCACAGGTATAATGATGGTCCAAGCAGCTTCTGAAGATTTGGGGGCCCAATAAAAGAGACTTCCCACTTTACAAAGGTTTGCTTGGGTAACTAGAGCTTTCCTTTATATCACAAAATGGATTTAAGATGAATTTTGAATGCACTTAAATAGACAATGTGG